CATCTACAAACCAGGCTATACTTAGTAAATTGTATATGTAAAATACTTAAAGATAGTTTCTTCTCCATACTCAAATGCAATGTAGTTAAAATATATTAAGGAACCATCATAAAATTAGGACTATTTTGGGATTTTTAGCTTTTTGATATTTTCTTCCCCAACTTTGACTATCTCTGGTAAAAAAAAAATGTACTGAGCTATAACTTTACATTACATAAAAAAATTGCTCATTTAATAAAGATTTCAGAAAAGTTCCACTCTTACTGTTTCGAATAGAAAAGAAGTAAAGAAGTATAAGTAAGAAGTAACAAGTAAAGAAATATCGTTTTTTCACCTTTCAGTAAACTGCAAGCAAGAGTATTTTTCCAAACACTTCGATAATATACTATGATTTATTGAAATAATTGGACCAAGTTTGGTGGTAATCGGTAAGGCGGTTAACAATATACACTTACGTAGCAAGTAATCAATCATCTTGTGTCTTGTTAAGTGATTGTTGTAAGTTGGAGTAATCGGAGTTTTCGTATTTCTGAAATGTACCGTTATATGGTAAGTGACAGTAATTTTAGTCCGATTTCAAACATTTTCAGCATATTGCTTTTTCACGCCAAGGTTGATAAATGTGCCGAGTTTGGTAGAAATTGTTGAACCGGTTACCGAGATACACATATGTAGGCATAAGTGGGCGGTGCCACGCCCATTTTCCAAAAATTTCCCTAATTATAATTTTCTGCTAAGAGGTTATTGCATATATCGATTTTGAGTAAATTAGATTAAATAGTTACTTATTTATCGCAGTTTTCGTATTTCTGTAAATTAACGTTATATGGGAGGTGCGCGTGGTTCTTGTCGGATTTCAAAAATTTTCAACAGGTTTCTTAGTCAAGCCCTAAGTAATGTTCTCAGCGAGTTTGGTGGGGATTGGTAAAGGGTCTACAGAGATACAGCTTTTTATCATAAGTGGGCGGGGCCACGCCCATTTTCAAAAAATTTCATAACTGTCTTATTATATGCCAAATTTCTACCTCGCGTACCAACTTTCAA